CCTTTTATTGGGATTGTCCCTTTAATTTTAAGACATGAAATTAGCTGTGTTGGCCATGGGGCCGTTTATTTCTCCTTCGAGTTTTCTGCCCAAGGGGGCTTTTGTTATTGTTTTGAATAATTTGCCCAAGAGGGTTCTTAATTAAAATTTCTTTAGAAAGAAATATTTAATCTTGGTGGAAACCATCGATTTTACCTGGAGGGTTTGCAAAGTCCTCCTAATCGAAGTGGTTTAGGATTATAGGAGAGATAGGCTGATCAGACCTACTTGCTTTTTTTAAAGAAAAAACATTGGAATTTTTCCTCGGTCTCTCGATTGCGAGGTTAGAGCTCGGCTTACAAGAACACTTTGCAATACTTCAAATGTGTTCGATTAGGGAAATCTCTAGTGAGAACTGTTTGCTTTTCCTAAGAGAAAAAAAAGGTGTGATACCATTTATTGATAGTCTTCTAATTTTGAGTTCGAAATTAAGTTCGCCTACTAGGTGTTAAGTGATACTTGAATAACCTATATTTCGTAGGTCTTGTTTGTGCATGTACACGAAAATCGAGAGGTCATAACAGTCAGATCAATAGATTGACGTTTAACTTTCTTTTTCAATAAATACTCGAGTGAGTGCCCTTACATATTTTTTCTATATAAGGAGAGTTGGATTTTGGAAATTTTCCAATAGATACTCTTTTATAAGGAACTTTGCAGTTCTTCTTTTTTGGATCTACGATGACATCTCCCCAAGGCGAACCTTGTGGTCCTAATTCGCCACGACTCCCTTCAAGCGAATCTCTTTTCCCGACGGGGGATGGATTCACTCCACAAGGGGTGGCTATTCCTTGTTTTCTTTCTTCCCTGTCTAGGGAAGAACAGATCGAGTGCCATGAATTCATGGAGCAGGTTTGAACCAAATACCAATGGTTTCAAAGTCTTACTTGATAGATTCGTAATGTATCTGTTCTTTTGCAGATCACGGAAAGATACGTTTTCTTCTGCTCCGAAAGGCAACGCCTCGGAATGAAACGCCGTAACCTCGAGGACCGGATTGCTAGAACAGAAAGGAAGATCCGACATTTGGAGTCGGACGTTCACAACTGGGAGAGGAGGGGATTTGATTCTATCGCCCGCATTCCCGGCTGTCTTCGAGAACACATCAGGTTCCTGAAGAAGCATTGGGATATCTACCAAAGGAGCCTCGAACCCGACGAACGTGAAGACGGTTCGTCAGGAGACGAAGTTCCTTCTGCGAACCCCCCTCCTTCTTAGTTTTTTTTTATATTATTATGTAACATACTATTGGGCTAGAGGCCCTGTAACATTAATTATATTTCCCTTTTCGCCTTAAATTTGCCGATTTACTCAAATCTTATTTAATGCGTTTATCTAGGGAATATAATTAGTAATTAACTCGATTACATTTTCCACGAAAGTAGTAATTTCAGATTTGGGAAATCGTCAATTAACCCTCTTAAATGTGATTGAGTATTTTTCGAATATAAAGCAGATTTAGATCGTTATTGAATTTAATCAACAATAATTCTACAAAAATGTTTGAGGAAGGTAATTTCTCAGAGAATCCCTCCGACTCGATTAAAAAGATAAGTGATGATCTTCCGGAAACGCCAGACATCGATCTTGTAAAAACGGAAGCCAACGGCGAACCAGAAGAGTCACGCCCATTGGGGTGGGGAACCAGCATTCAGGTTCCAAATGTGTTAATTGAGAGATTATCAGCTCAAGATCGTGTCAAGGCCAAGGAGTTTATTACCAAGGTATTATTAAGCCTACTAACCTAACTCCTTTCGTTGTCTTGCTAAACGAAGCGTTTCATTTTCTTCAGCTTGTCATACGGCACGACGAGCTCGGAAATGAGAGAAAAGAGATTAGGCAAAGGATAATGGAACTAGACGAAGCGTCACCTTGATATTGCTCGCGAGCTTCATC